ATAATGATGATGAAAACAAAATAATTAGGAATGTTGTTTAGAAAGAAATCATTTATTTTAACAAAGCAAAATTAATTACTTTCAGAGACAGTTTGTATTTAAGTAACCAGAAATTGTAGTGTTAACAAACATAAAACAAAGATACCATTACTTTAAATTTATTATGATTTCAATTAACATTTTTTTTTATCTGTGATGTTTTCCTGGGACTTTCTTATGTTTTTTTCCTCTGTCTTTTTTTATGTGATTCTGTATTTAAACTGAATATATTTTCTAATAGATGTAGTCTTTTAAATAGACAAATAATTTAGATTTGAAATGAGATCATTTTGCTGTCAGTGAAGCAACAGTCACAGTCTTGCTGTCTGTGACTGTTGCTTCACTGACAGCAAAATGATCTCATTTCAAATCTAAAACAGGTTAGATTTTTAAACTCTAGATAATCAGATAATTGCAACTTTTATTGAACTTTTCAGAAATAAATAAAATTATTTTTTTTTAATTTTGTATAAATATTTTTAGGCCTGTCCTTGAATCAAAATATGCATGCAGAAATATATATACACAATTAAAATGTTTCTTTACTTACTTGTGTGTGTATGGCCATGAAATAAAAAATAATAATCAGCTTTTCTTTCTTTTACCTACAGTGAATGAGCTTTCGTATCTTATTGACAATTATTTCATTCTTGTTTCTATCTATTGATATTGTGGTGGTGGGGGAGATTTGGCATTGCCAAAATTTTCAACATGTCCACAAATAAAAAGGAAAAGAAGAAAGTAGATAAAATACAATAAAAGATGTTAATATTCACAAATTGTTGATTGGTGGTTTTACAAAAAATGTTTTGAGTTGAGTTTCTTTTTTTTTGAAGGGTGAGTTTTTATGCAGCTGGAAATAGATAAAGGAAAATTTTTTTTTTTTTTTTTTTTACTCCAACTCACTACTGGATATTTTGTTTCCTAAAAGCACAGACTGAGTAGTAGATACAAAGATTTGCACAAATATTTAAGAAAAATATGTTAAATTCTATTTGAAAGTATGTTAACTGAAGAATATGACATTTTCTGTTTGAATCTCTGGGCTGAGGAATTGTCATTATTTCAGTCAGTTATATGACATGCATGATACATGCTTAAGCGATCAGGTATTTTTTAATACATGACTGATAAGGCAGATTTTTTCCCTCAGTAGGTTGCCATTTCTTTCTGCAGTAGACCAGTTGCCTTCCAAGGCTATAGAACCTGGTCTGTCCTGCTATTTACCCATACCTGGGGGGAAGGGAGGGGATTCATACCTTCCCCAAGGGTATTAGCATGTAAGTGAATGTAATGGATCTGACTGGAATTTGAACTTGGCTCTCCGTTTTCTCAATCTGAGCCATTACTCCACTGTGTTTCCTCTTTGGACTATTGTCTTCATCTTTGTTGTTGTTATCACAACGTTTCAGCCATTGTGCACGCTAACCTTCATCAGGAGTATATCAATCAGTTCAGAATTCCTTGTAAGTTATCCAAATTGATATACACCTGATGAAGGCAGGATGGCACAATGACTGAAATGTTGTGATAACAACAACAAAGATGAAGACAATAGTCCAAATATAAATAATGAAAAATAAGTCTAGCATTTCTAATAACTTAATTACTATAAAGGCCTAAAAGTTGAAACGTTGTGGATTAATAATTTGGATATGTAAATTTTATCTTTCTCTGTAAATTATAATTAAATTTTATTTTGAATTTTTATACATTTAGCAGAGATACAGTAGAATCCCGCATATCCGGACATGATTTTCGTGTGAATATTTGAATTATTTGGGTGATATGTAATTGATTTGAAATTTCTGTATTTCAGGAAATTTACTTTGGATAATTGCTTAGGCTTATTTCCCCCCTAATGGCTTGCATTGGTGCCAAAGATGATGGGAATAAAAGGAAAAGAAAAACTTTGGAGTTATCGCAAAAAGTGGAAATTTTAAACAGACTAGACGCTGGTGAAAGTTCATTGTAACTAATGGCGGAGTTCAACATAGGAAAGTCAACATTGTATGATATAAAGTCTTCCAAAGAAACTATTCCTCAGCGTTCACACTGTCACAATGAACAAGGAAATAAAAAACATGATTGTGATGAAACCTGAAATTGAAAAAGCTATTGAAAAAGGTTGTCAGTTTTATGGAAAGAAAGCCAGCATTCAGCTATGACGATTGCAATAACACACACAGAGTTAAAAAGTGTCTTTTGTTTAAAAAATTTCAAGAACAAAAGCAAAATGAAATGCGGAAAAAGTTGAGAATGACATCAGAAGAGAAAGAATCATCATGCAACAGCGATTAAAACATCCTTGTTACATTATTTGTTTTGCATATGTGGCATAATGTTTAATTAATTTAATGAATTTTCATTAACATTACATAATTCATTTCTTTTTCCTTAAAATCAATTCTGTTATATTTCACTCACTATCAGACTATTTTGTTTACTATAAAACATTGAAAATAAACCTGATTTCAGCTCTTTTGTTTTAATCTAAATATAATCCCTCATATCCGGAAGGCCTTCTTAGTACGGTTGTCAGGGATTCTATTGTATTGTATTTTATTAATAATTTTCAATAAAATTTTTTTTTTCATTTTGTGTGAAATTGATTAATAGGCTATTTTCTAAAGATGTCCTAATTTGAGTCCATATAAGTTTATTTTTTACCAAATCTTTATTTATATAGATTTTTAAAGTTTATCTTCAGAAAACTATAAATCTATTTTTACTTATCATTTATCAATATCAGTTTATTCATTACCACAAAGTAAATATCCCGTTTATTATTTATGATAAAGTGAATTTAGGCTAAACTTAAAAAAAAGAGATTGACCCCAAAAAGAATATTCTGATAAAAATGGTAGACACAAGTCGAATGAGAGGAAAAAATAGCAGAAGTAATTTCTTGTCCCCTCCCAATATTAACTTTGTAACCCACCCCCTCTCAATTGAATTACTTAGACTTATGGTACTTTTCAGAAATTATTCTGTAATAAATAAAGTTATTATTTTAAGTTATGTTTTTAATTTTGTAGAAATATTTTTAGTTATGTCATTAAATTTAAAATATACATGCGTAAATCACAATGAAATTTAAACAGATATCTGTATTGTGGGGATTAGTTTCCTTGTCTGGCAACAACCCCTGATTAACTGGAAAATAATGTGACGAAATGTGCAGCCCTTTGAAGTCGGTTTACTTTTATGACTAGTATTTAAAAAAAAAAAGAAAAAAAAAAATTTATTGAAATTTAAACAGAAACTTGATCACTAAAAAATCCGTCAACCAAATGAATCCTCTTGGACATCATATTTCCTATAAGAATTTTCTTGTTAATGGCGATTTACGCAAAAAGTTTTTTTAAACCATTTTTGCGAAAATAAATAAATAAATATTAATATAAATAATATAATATAAATAATAAATATAAATAAATATATAAATAATAAATAAATAAATAAATACTAAAAAACTAGTTTATTTTTTAAAATGGTAATGCACAAAGCATGCACAGAAATAGAGCTACAATACACAATGAATTGTTTTATTAATTATTATCATATCGTCAGCTTTTTTTTCTCAGCTGTAATTTTATGGTTGAAGAAAGGACAAAACTAAAAAATAAAAGTAGCTATCAGTTTTGTGCACGAAAGTAATCTGCTAGATTTTATTTTATTTTTCACAGATAAACAAAAAAATGCACTGGCAGAGAAAGTTCGACGCCTAACGCAGGTGATTGAAAAAAATGTGTACCAAGCACCTGTGATAAATACTTTCAAATACAAACAATAAATAAAATATTTCGTTTTAACTTTTTCTTTAAATTAAAATTATTATCGACCTATTCTCATAGTACCCAGGACCTTTTAAGCCCAGGCGAAAGGAAGTTTAACTAAGTCTAAAAACAAACAAACACAACAGGTGTTCATTGCAAAAAGAAAAAAAAAAGTGGTATTATTAATGGTCATTTTTTTTTTAAATAAAAAAGTTTTTTTTCTAAGACATATTATCTCAGACCTCCCTAAAAAAAAACAACTTTATTCCAGGGATATGAAGTTTTAAGGGTCCAGAAAGCTCACTAGAAGACGTAACATCATAATAAATTTTTTTAAAAAAAAGTATTAGTTTAGTTAGGAACTTTTTATTAACTTCATTTCACCATAATTGAAATACAATATTTAAAAAAAAATTTAAATTAATTAAAATTTTTAATAAACTATAATTTTTGCAGAGGACACAAACTATGGATTTATAAAGGTTGTTTTGTTTTTATTTTTAAAATTATATTTTGAAGCAAATGTAGTAAAAGTTTTGAATACTAAAGAAAAAATTTAATTTTTTTTATAATTTTAGGCGATTTTTATATTTTCTGCGCGAGTAAAGGAGGATTTTATTTTTAGTTAATCTCAGTTTTGACTTTTGCTGATTTGTCTAAAGTTCCAAGAAGCAGCAAATTGTTGATATGTTTCTTGGAGTGAATTTAAGTCAAATATCGTGAAATTAAGTGACAAGTCAGTTTCAAAAAATGTTTCTTCTTTTTTTTAAGTTTGTTGATTTTCTTTTTACCTTGAAGGCTTATAAATCACTGATTTTTTAGTCTGAATTTTTATCAAATGTTCACTTTTAGTTTTAATTGTTAAATCTGATTTTTAGTTTTTCTGTGTAAAAAATTATTTTTTAACTTCAAATTTAATAAATAAATAAAAATTAACAATGTTTCATTTCATTGTATAATAAAACTCCATTTCTGTATAAAAATGTTTCTTTTTAAATAAAGAAAAAGAAATAAAATAATAACATTTAATTTTATAAACTTTTTAAATGATTTTGAAAAACTTTTATCCAGTGGTGGTGATTCTGTTTTTAATTTCCTCTAATTAAGAATTTTAAAACATATATTTTAATTATTTGGAAATAGTCAATAAGAATAGAATGGCTGTCTTTTTTTCCCCCTTACCTGATAATTAACAAGATCTTTTTCGGTGAGGAGGACACTTGGTGACAAACCCATTTTCAAGTTTGACAACAAGAATGTTTAGCAATGTTTCCTAACCGGTTGCCTAAAAAAATAAGGTATGTCACGAAAAACGAACCACATCGTCGTTTCCATTTCACGTTCTGTTTAATATGAAAACATTCAAAATTAAACAAAGCATTGCTTTAGATTTTTTAAAGTATTATATTAATAATATTATTTCAGAAACTATCTTATGACATTCGTTCATTTTATGATCATTTTAAAAAAAAATACTCCATGTAGTAACTCTACCTTTAAGTACGCTAACACTTAATTTGATAAAATAAAAGTATAAAAATGTTTTTATTGCCAGTAATAATCAATGTACAAATTAGTTTTCAAAAGTTTTTTTTCTGTAATTATTCATATATAGGATTAATTTTATCTAAAAATGTTTAGTCACTCATTCGTAACCATTTCTACTTTTACACATTTCCAAATTGTTTTGATGTAATACAACCGGCAGCTGTTTTGTAGATATGGGTGATCAAAGGTGCTGTAAATGGCGCATTAACCCTCCCACCATAAAATGAGTTGACTTTGTGACTGAAACAATAGAGTATTTTCCCCAAGACCGGAAGTAAACGCTTAAATTTGGAATACTGATTTTTGAAACAAGAGGCCCACCTAACTTGGAAGATTTATCGCAACACAAAATTCTTCTGTCTGTCAGTCTTGTGGTCAGAAATATATTTTCTTTATCACCCCCAAAATAAACCTGATGTACACATGTTATTAATTATAAATTCAGTATTATTCAATATTAATTATTCCAATCGTTAATGATAAAAACTACTCAAGGCAATTGTTTTTTGTTCATAGATTGATTTACATAATTTGGTTAAGTTACTTTTATAAAGTTTTATTGGCGTATTGTTTCATCGTCAAATCTAAGATATTCGTATGTATCCCATAAATTGTTATGGAACATGAAAAAAATCTGTTCAGAATTAAAAATGTTTTATGAAGTTTTATCCATAGAAACATTTTGGAAAGAAGTGTGTAGCTATATTGAGCAAGAACATTGTCATCGAAAAATACACACAAATTTGAACGTCAGTTAACGAACGAGATGAAAGTAAAACCAACCCTTGTGCTAAAAAAAAAATCATTATAGAACAGCCTTGAGCCTAGAACACCTAATTTTAAAAAACGGGGAAAAAAGACTTTACGAAAAACAGGGCATATAGTTAGTACCATACAAAGATGACAAACTTGTGCTTGGGGTGGGGATAGAGGGAGACTATAACTTTAGTCTTTGACAAAAATGTAAGAAAAATGCGATCCAAACTTCAATTACTAATTAAGGGTTACGTCAAACTTTATTTGAATTATCCTTCTTCATCCATAATGAAAAACATCAAGGGAAAAAAAACAAACTATAAAGATTTTTAAGAGGCATTTGTAATGTTTCAGTTTTAACTTTTACGGTTTTATTTTATTGTTTTTTTTAGTTATGGATTTTGATAGTTAAAAGAAAAAAAGAGTAAGACTTGTTATGAATGAAAATATCAAACCTTTTCAATTGATTTAACTTAAAAAGTAACTAACATCAATACTACACAATTCATGAAGAAGTTATACAAGCTCTCATTTCACAATAATCAAGAAAAATAATAACGTTATGGACATTGATTACTAATTTCATTTTCCGAAATGGAATTTCTTAAAGGCAACATTTTTCTTTGACCAAACAATCATAAATAATTTCTATTACCCCCTCCTCCTCCACACTAAAAACACGCCATTGGCATTATTAATCCAAAAATGTAAGTGTGTATTTGTAAGTATGCCTTCTGGTCGTATTCGACATCGTGGTGGCAGCCATCATAACGTTTTTAATGGTGAAACTGTTTGTTTTGAAATATTACATTTCATGTGGAACAAGGCCAAAACGGGGGGGGGTCGACACTTTGCTAAAACCTGATTCACGACCCATTCATCCATTACATACAATTTCATTTACTCATTCATCACCATTCAGTTCAACACATATCACAATGGTGAAATACTGCCTAATAATTGACCAATTGTTATACTAACACCTGCTACATATCAAAACAGTCATGTTGTAAACTTATTTGAATAATTACTGACATAGTTTGTAACCATTGTTATTTTTATTTTATTGAACAGCAAACATTTTAAATAAAAGTAAAAATGCAAGAAAAAATTGTATTATTTGGCTCCGTTCAAAATAGACAATGAAATATTTTAGTAGAGAGTGTCATATAAAGAATAAACACGTCGGAGAAAATACTAAATTTCCTGAGTTTATTAAATAAACTGAGGAAACTTTATTTCAAACGAACTAACACTAAAAGTTGAATCAATTATTCCACAAATTTTAAACAACTCCAGAAAGATTAGGAATATTAGTCTGAATAATCCTTAGAATGAAAGAGATTTGTTTCCAGATTATTTACAATTCTGACATATTCTCATTTTCAAAACATACTTGGGAGATTGATGTAACAATCTTCTAGTAAAATTAATATTGTGGCGTACTAAATATCCGGAAATCTTTCAATTGAAAGTAGTGTTATGTCGATTCTAGGCTTCCATAGTTTTGTTTGCTCTTGTTAAGTATTACGATTGCATTCTAAATACGACATCTATGTCAGAACTATAAGAAACCAAACCTACTCTTTCATTTTTGTCTCATCCCAGTCTTTCGTCAGCTGTGTCCCCCACTTTAAAACCCTTGGGGGAGACATGTTCGCCCAGATACCACAGAATTCTCACGGATCAGGTATGAAATACAGTTTTTACCCCCCTCGTTTCTAAATGTTTGTTCGACATTAAATTCCCAAAATGCAAAATGAAAATCTCAGCGCAAAATTTCTTTCAATTTTTTTACTTCAATGTTTTCGTTTTTGCTTTTGAAATTTAATCAAAAATAAGAAAAATCTTTGTTGTTTTTTAAATAAATAAAATGAAAGTTTTTATGTGTTTACCTTTTTTTTTTATAGGAAAAACTCTGAGTCATGAAAAAAACAGCTTTAATTTTAAATTTAATTTTTATTTATTTGGACATTAAATTTTTATTTTTTGTCTAATCTTTTGACAGAAGTATTGAATTATTTACTTTACAAATAACAATTGCCTTTTTTCAATTTTATCTCGTGTGAACTTCCTCTTCTTTGATATGATTGAAAAATTTTAATAAAATTATTAAACTTTTATTTTTGATTTCAACAAAATCTCTAAATTTTATCTTTTTATTTAAAACTACTTTTTTGGATAATTTTTTTATTTAAATCTATAAGAATTTTTATTTTTTTATCTAATCTGCTGTTTGTAATTTTTGTGACAGAGTATAGAAAAAAATTAAATCAAACAAAAACATTTTTTATCCAAAAGAATTTCGTTTTTCTTATTGTTTTTATACAAACTTATGGTGGTTAATATTTTTAAACACACTTCTTTCTCCCACTTAGTTTCATTTAAAAAAAAAAAAATTATTTATTCACTAGTTGCTCTTGGAAGTGACTTTTTCGTTTTTTTTAATCTAATGTTTGTTTTAAAATTAAGTTTTCTTGATATTATTATTTAAGAATTCGTATTTTTGCTGAAAGAATTTGTCTCCTTCCCCTTCCACCATTAAACTGAAAATGACATTTAAAAATTTACCAAAATAACTAGAAAATCTTTAAATGTCAAAAAAATATTGGTCATTTTTATTCATCCAGCCAATTATTCTTTATTTTCTCTCGGAAGAGTTTTTTTTTTATTTTTTTTTATTTTTTTTTAAAAAAAGAATTTAAATTTTGAAAACCAAGGGATTTGTTTTTTAATAGACATTTCATTTCATGTTTTTATATTTTTTTAACTTTACCAACTTTGCTAATTTTCTAAACTTTTATTATTTATTTATTTATTTATTTTTTTTTTTTAGTAACGTTTTAAGCTTTTGTTTGAGTTTGATCAACCTGACTGCCACTCCCTCCACATCGGTGTAGTAGATGAGTTTATAAACATTTTGTAATTATTTACTACTTTGTCAGCTTTTTTTTTTTTTTTTGATTAATTATTATTAATAATTAATTTTGAATACATTCATTTCAGAAATCATTTATTTTGTTTAACTTCCATGTTGTTTTTTTTAATTATATAAAAAAAAATCTTGTCAATTTATAAAACAAAAAAAAAAATCCTAAGTAAAACCTTTTTTTGAATTGAATATTTTCCCTTCAAACTTTGTTGTACCAGTTCATTCAAAAACCTTCTTCAGGTGATCTTTTATCCAAATGCTCTGTTCTTAGACCAGTCATTTACATTGCAAATCATACTTTTGTCTTTAAAACAGTTAAACCTGATTTATTTACTTTTTTTTTAGCATGAGGGTGTGTCAGACTCCCCCCCCCCGTTTATTCTGCAGTTTTTTTTAAGTGTCCTTGCCGTCCTATTCAACATTTAGGAATTTGAACACTTTTCCTTTAACAAACCGTTGTTGGACAAGTTGGAGGTAGCCTCTAAAACTGGCAGAATAACTGTAGAAAGTGTAGATTATTACACATCAAACCTTAGATATTTGATTAAGTGGGCATTTCTCTTTTTACTGACCTTTTTTATAGGAACTTGTATATTCACGTTGTAAGATTCTGCCAAAATTAGAGATTTATAAATTCTGATATGGCAGAATTACCATCTTTCAAAAGTTTGCCTAAGAAGGGAGATAAGAAGCCTCAAGATTTATTGCTTGATTCGCTTTTATAACAAGAGCTAACTTTTTTAAATGGATCAAAATATTTTAATACTTTTAGTTTTTAGTTTACTTTTACAACTTCGATGCAGTTATTATTTTTTCAATGTGAATCTTGCATCAATTAACACTTAACAGTAACACTTACGTGCAATAGAATAGCTGGTCTTCTTATTGCAAGGAAGATAAACGTTTTTCTTTTCGTTAAAAGTAAAAATATGTATTTCTTTTTAAAAGATTTATAGATTATAAAGGAAAAAAATGCAGTTACTTTGATCTGCTTACAAATATTGAAACAAAAAACTTCCCTTTCCTTTTTCTTACTGAAAAGAAAACCAAAACAATGTCCTACTTCAGTAAAATTATTCGTTGGTAAAATCTTAATTGTTTTTTTTTTAAATACTCTCTCTATTATATATATATATATATATATATATATATATATATATATATATAGTAATAATAATAATGAATGACTACATTCTTTTTTCAGGCATGTCCTGTAATAATCCGGATCTTTATGAGGTATGGATCAGCGAATATAAAAATATTACTATTTCTTTCCTATCCAGTGTCTAAAAAGCACTTTCTTTAAGGCTCAACATTCTCTTGCATCTTATGACCAATAGTCATAAATTCTAGATAATGTTGCACTGCATTTATTCCTGGGACTTTTCATTTTGAAACCAGTCCTGATTTTTTGTACAAAAGTCTTTTATACACTAAAAAAAAATATTACTTGACAATATTTACTGTCTGATAAAATACATTATTCTTATGTAAATTATATTTGATTTATAAAATATTATTTGCTTCAAATATCTTTTTAAGAAAATTGTTCATATATTAAATCCTTAAGAAAATTTTCAAAAAAATGTTTTTGTTATATGATGTGCAAAGTAGCTCACTCAAAATGATATTTTCTATGTAAATACTAAATTATTAAAATTAACAGTAAATTAATATTTAAGTCATGTAATCTAGCATTGTGTCAAACATTCTCTATCCCAGCAACTCGATATGGCATCAATTCCACAAGTGTCCAGTGTTGTGATGTTAATGGGGACCATCTGGGTGGTGATCTTCAATTCCCATATCCCATGGAGGCTTTAGAACACTGAACTAATCTGCTGGATATGCACCTGGCATTTCTTACATTAAATGTGATTTTTTTTTTTTTTTGTCACTATTGTTTGTGTTGTTTTACGACAGACAATTCTAGCATTAAGAACCTGTGGTCAACCACCGTACTGTCCATGGGAAGTAGTAATGCCTTCCAACAAGTATTCCTTGTGCACACTTGATGCCATAGATCAAGGGATGTCTAAGTTTACTACAATTATAAAAATGGAATGTCCTATCCACCTGGAACCTACTATAATACCCTGTTTGCATACTGATAATTCATTGCCCCTTTGCTGTAAGCAGCAGCCTACTTGGTCATATTTCCTCCACTGAAGTCAGAGTACAATAAGTATAGATCTGGAAATTTCTGTGATGTCAAGGTACAGTGGCACAATTTACCATTACTTTTGACATGTAAGCGTAGTTTCTTTAGGTTTTCGAAGTCTTGCCAAAAAAAATTGAATAATTTAAAGTTACTTCTGATAAAAGTTTTTTTTTGTTATGCTCGTTCTGTTTGATGACCTCAGTTGTTTAAAAGTTTTCACTGATCATTCTTTCCCCCTCTCATCTTTGATGTTTTTCTTCTCCAGGAAGTCAAGCTTTTTCGAACAGCAAGAGAACGAGAAAAGTAAGTGAAGATCTCTCTTTTTTTTTTTTTTTTTTTTTTTTTTTTTTAAATTTCAACATCAACTAATCTGAAGAGTAAATTTGGTAGTCTTATAAATGTTTAAGACAGATTCTAGCATGACACAGTGAACCAATTTTCTTAGCAGCAGGCCTAGCAATTGATTAAATATAATCTTTCCATTTCATGTCAGTGGAAAATATTAGCCCAAGAAGATCTTATAAGTCCTGGATGTTAGCAATGGCTATGTTGATGGAAGTCAAGAAAGGTTCTGTAAGATGATTAAAAGGCAGCAGTTTCATTTTGGAGGCATTAAAATTAACAAGCTGCTTTTTGCCGCAGTTAACAGATTGTAGGTCATTAGCTGCCAATTTGAACATATTGAACCTACCATTAAAACAGAAGTAAATAGTTATCATTGGCACTGATATCAAGTTAAGAACCGATTATATTGGGAAGATCCTTGATGAAAATTTGGAGCAACATTAGTCCATGGTAGAGCCTTGGGGGACATCCACATTAATGGAAAAGAGTTCTAGAAGAATGGCTGTTCAAGATAATTTTAATTTCATGATTTGATAAAAAAATTTCTTCCAAATTTGTGAAGAAGACCAGCATGGTGAATCCTGTCAAACATCTTTGAGATATCCAAAGCAACAGCCTGAGCTTCACCATTCTTATCTAAACCTTGATAGACTCTTTCAGCAATAATTGTTAACACATCAGCAGTTGACCGAAAGAAACAAAACCATATTACTTCTCTGAAAGAGATTGAGGCAAGATGCTTAACCAAATCAAAGTTGATTAGTTTGGTAGATAGATGGATCAGACATTGTGTATAAATATATATATATATATATATATATATATATATATATATATGGTACAGAATTTTATGACTGCCATGAAAAGACAAACTTTATTACCACTCATGATAATAGATAAAAAGTAAAACTGAAAAACCAGGCTAGTTAACTGGTTTCGAACTTCACTCAACAGAGCTAAATTGAGGTTAATAAATTAAATAGAATTATCACTAAGAGATGGACAATATGTATTGGGGGTAGGGGGAGAAAAAAATATTGCTTAGATGGAAATTAGTTGGAGGCCCAGTACGAAGTCCTTCTGTTTACACAGAGCTTCAATGATAAAATATAAATGGCCTCCAACACTTTTAAGTGGTAATTCGAGTGGGACTTGTTAAGAATGATAAATAAGTCCACACTGAAACTAGTAGCACAATTATGGCTATTTATTAGGTCCTCTGCGATGGAAGACACATATGTATTGGTCAGAATGTCTGAAGGAGTGTACTTAAGGTTGTGGATTTTTGTTGGGACGTGTTGCTTTATTCTGCCATCCAGCCTTTGAGTCGTTCTCCCTATGTAGTGTGAGCCACAACTACATTTAAAAGAATAAATTAAAGAACTGTTATGATGTGGAGGGAGAACGTCTTTCCACATGGACGGAAAGACAGGCTTGGCAGAAAAGACCACACAAGTGTTAGCAGCAAAGTAACAATGTTGAACTGCTACGGAAACCTGCCTAGCATAGGTTTTATCGGTTATCATGAGTGGTAATAAAAATTTTTTTTTCATGGCAGTTTTTTATGACATTTTTATTTACATTCTTTTTATAGATACAAATATTTAAGTAAATGCTCTGTTTATAATAAACATTAATAACATTTACTGACCTGAATGTCTGAGAAATTTTCATAGAAAATATTTGTCCTCCAACAGGAATCAAACCTGTATCCTATATGGAACCGTCATATAGCCTGACATACCTTAACCGATTGAGCCACAGAGGATCATTCAGTTAGCAAGGTTGATATATATTCGATTCCTGTCTGAGAACGAATATTTTCTATGAAAATTTCTCAGACATTCAGGCCGGTAAATGTTATTAATGCTGTTTATTATAAACAGAGCATTTACTTACATTCTTTTTATAGATAAAATATTTATGAACATAAAAATGTCTTAAAATAATTGTCGGACTTTGTCCATTTATTTTTTATATATATATATATATATATATATATATATATGAGAAAGTGTAACGCAAAAAAAAAATTCTAATTTCTCTTTATTTTTTACAAAAAATCCTTTTGTATTTTTCTCTCCTCACCTTTTTATTTCTTTTTTAACTGTTTCTCCTCTTTGGTATTGCAGGTATGACAACATGGCTGACCTTTATGCTGTCATCAATACACTGCAAAGTTTAGAGAAAGCCTACATCAAAGATGCTGTGCAACCCAAAGAGTAAGTTAACATCTTTTTTTAACTGTTTTCTATTAATTCAATAGAAATTCTCTGACCTTGTTTTTGATGAGATGCCTATTCTTGTAATAGTCTCCATAATTACAAAATGTTTATATAAAAAAAATAAATAAATTTACTACCATATGGGTGACATATAGGAGGCTATAAATAATATATAAATCATCCTGTCATTCTCCTCCTTTTTATTTTTTCCCTCCCCTTTTGATTGTTTTTAAATTTATTAAAATGTCCTACTTGCTACCCTGAACTGAATGTTCTTATTGACCCACAGGTATACGGCTGCTTGTTCCAAACTGCTTGTGCAATACAAAGCTGCATTTAAGCAAGTCCAGAGCACCACTTTCCCAACAGTTGAGGATTTTATGAAGAAATATCGGGTAAGCCAATTCAAATGGTTTCCAGTATAGGCAAGAAAAGATGCCCACAACTCACCCCGTCTTTTTTTTTTCCTCCTCTCTGCTCTAATCGGCTTTTTTCTTTTAGATGATTTTTTTATATTGCCACTTAGATTCGTCATTCTAAATGCTGGTGATACATTAATGTTCATTTTAGTACCTCTTTATCTGTTTAACATTTAAACAAGACAACAGCTTCCCTGACCCTCAATCCCTCATTCTGGAGAGGTGGGGATGGAAATCCAATTACAATGACCCTATCCAACTGTTCCATCCTAATCTAGGTGGTTTTATTTATTTTTTTTAATTTAGATCTCACTGCTCTGTTTAATTTTTAAAAGATTTTTTTCAATTCACATATAGATTGTTCATTTTCCATTTTATCATCCACTTCCTCTGCTATAATTTGATATTAAATTTTTGGTTAAATTGCAGATTAAGCCCTGCAAAACAATTGTAATGAATTTCCATTCTTTTGTAAATTTGTATGATTTTGAAAATAACAATATAAGTTTGTGGAAGAATACTGTTTAGGAGTTATCAACAATCTTATTTCAGCCTCATTCAAGCCACGGCTACAGGCCAGCTGGCATTACTGGCTTTGTTTACATACGTTTGCCTTGAATAGTAATGTGCGGAAACTTCACATGTTTTGATTACTACACAATGCACAAACTTTAAATTTGATTTTTGTAAGAATTTCCAAAACAATGTTTTTTTTTTTTGGTTTTTTTTAAGGAAATGTTGCATTTATAAAAAAAGTGCTAAAAAGAATTACAAACTAAAAGAATTCTTAAGACACTCTTATTACCCATGCCATTATATTAGAAAAGCTTTCAGTTGCTTTTCTAATTAAAACCAATTTAAAAAAGAATTCATTTAATGCTTCACTTTTACAAAAAATCAAAACTGTAAAAAGTGAATTCTTTCTTTAAATTGGTTTAAAAAAAAAAAAAAAAAAAATAAAATAAAATAATGTCAAGATTTCTTTTTGGTTTAAATTTTGATTAAATTAGTTAACCAAAATGCTATTTTTGGAATAGTGAGAATTTTTTACACCAGGAATAATTTTTTCCAGTTGGCAAATTTTTTAAATTTGCACAGTAATCAAGACAAGAAGATCAGTAAAAAGGCTGTTAATTAAGTAAGCTTCCGTGCATTACAACTTGAGGCAAACATATGTAATGGTGGCCAGGCTAGATGTGAATAAGTCCGAACTTATATAACTCCTAAACAGTATTCTTCTGTAAACTTTATTCTATTTTTGAAATAACCATGGAAATTTTCATTACAGTTGGTTTCTGGGGCTTAATCTGCAATTTAACCAAATTTTCTTCTTCCTACTTTGGCATCAATCTTCATTCAAATCACTAAAGATTAGTGTCTGGAAAAAGGAGTGGGTGGGTACAAACCACACACACACAAGTCAATCTTTGTATTTATTTCCCCAATCTGGGGCCATTTGTGATCTCTAACAAAATAAAGATGATTTTTTTTTTTTTCTCTCCCACCCAGCTTGATTGTCCAGCTGCTTTGGAGAGGATCAAAGAAGACCGTCCGATTACCATCAAAGATGATAAAGGCAACACCAGCAAATGTATAGCAGACATAGTTTCTGTAAGTCAGTTTATCTGTCTCCCTTAACATGCCTCACCCCCATGAAATCTTTAGCCTTCTTACTGAAAATTGTACCTCTGAATTACTTCTTAGGTGAAAACTGGTATTGATACTTTTGTATCTTATCATTAACACCACATAAAATTCACAATCTTCTGCATATTCAGCTGCTATAGCCCACAGGAATCACTTTTTCTGACTATACCAATGTGAGAGCTCTGATGGACATGATGGTATCCCTGCAATTTCTCTTCAAGCCAGCTCTAGAGCACATTTCTTATGTTCGCTTCAAGCTCTACAACAGATGCTACTTGCTTTCTGGTCTCCTTCACAAGTTGAAGAGTTATGGTTTCTGACCATTTCCTTGATTTTGATCCCATCTTTCTCATTAAGCTGTGTAATGAAAGTTCTCTTGAACGGCCACTCTTCTAGATCATTTTGTGTTAATGTGGCTGCCCTCCAAGGCTCTATTCTTGAGCCCATTGTTCTTATTTTCATCAATGACCTTCCTGATGTCAGTTCCCGTTTCATTATCTATACTGATGACACAAATATTCACTCCTGTCTTAGTGAGGGGTTTAATAAAATTGTCAACTGATCTCTATTAATCATTTTTAAAGAATTTTTTTTTTTTTTTGCCTTCCATCAGCATGGCTGATGCTAACCTCCAGGAGATCAATTCACACTGCCTTCTCTCACATTTTTCACTGACATGAAGTGGAGCACATATAAAAATTGCAAGGAAAATGCCCCCCCCCACCGAATCATAAACCTACTATTTATCCATGTATTGAAATTACTAGTTGTAACTGTAAGTTCTTGTACTTCTTGCTTGTTGATCTCGCTTCTGTCAACTATGATCTTCAAAAATTTAAATACAATTGTTGTCTTAATTACTAATTAAAAAAACATTGAAAGTATTTCATTCTTATTAAAAGACCTTCCACTATCGTTAAAGGAATTGACTGTTCTTGTTTGAAGGATTAATCTTAAGACAAATACTTTTTTTTTTTTTTTTTTTTTTTTTAACAGTTGTTCATTACTATCATGGACAAATTAAGACTGGAGATTCGTGCTATGGATGAAGTAAGTTCTTTTATTTGCTGTCTCTGTTCATTTTTTAATACTGAAATTTGAGGAAGAAAAAAAAAAATTCTTCTCTTTTTGCCATGAAATTCAAGATACCCACTTAATCTAAAAATGTCAGATTTCCATTTGAAATTCAGTCCCCTCACATTTTTTTTTTCCTTACAGATTCAACCAGATCTATGTGAACTTATGGAAACGATGACTCGACTTAGTTTGTTACCTCAAAATTTTGAGGGAAAAGAAAAAGTGTCCAAATGGTAAGTAATTTTTGGATTACATATTTTAGTGTTTCTACTTTGAAACCTGTTTAAAAACAAAAAACATTCTTCTTGTTCCTAGGTTGACCACACTGAGTGGGATGCAGGCATCCGAAGAACTCAATGACAGCCAAGTTCGACAGATGATATTTGACCTGGAATCTGCCTACAATGCCTTTAATCGAGTTCTCCATAATGTCTAAATCTTCTTTCTTGACATCACTAACTTTCAAAAGGACTGCAGTTGACATCAAGACAGGAACTTTGCCCCTGACTCACCAGCTATCTACTTGGAAATCTTGGTTCTGTCTCAACAAATCTCTCATCTCTTCAGTTTTGCAGATAGTGTTCCCTATTTCTGTATTAAGTGGTTTATCTGCAAAACTTTTTTTTTTTTTTTTTTTTTGTAATTGCCGACTCAAATATGACAATATTTTAGACCCCCACCCCATATTCATGCATTGACTTATCTCAAAATGGGAATAGAAGTTGTATAAACAAATGCATGTGTATTTAACAGGCCTATCTGTCTCTGCATACAAGCTGAGAAAGCCAAACTACTGGAACTCAATTCTATACAAACAATTCCAAAACTTCTCCATAGCAGAAATTGAGAATTTTAGCCCCCTTTTTTTTTTCTAAACTGTCTGGATAATGGGCTTCCTTTATCCAGTGCTAGACTTTTAAAACAATTTTAAAAATACAACATTGTACATTTTATGTGGAATAAAACATTCAGATACCTTTTTTTTCTTTTGGTCCGTGTGTCTCAAAATAACTATAAACCAGTAGGTGTCTACATTTATAACACTTTATTTCTATTTTAGTACAAAAATAGAATCATTTAAAAATAAAAATTCAAAGCCAGTTCCTGATGACAGGTAAGTGAGTGATTATAAACTGGTATCGGGAACCAAAAGAAAAATAGGTTTCTTTGTTCAGTTTATAATTGCAATCCAAACTGCTTAATCCAGGTCAAGCCATCAGTAGTTCTACCTGAAATTAAAAAGAAAAAAAACAAACACAAAATTAAGTATGAACCCAGAACTTGAACCAAGATAATTCTGGTCTTCTGCAACACAGCCATAACATTTTTTCTATAAATAAGGTCCAATTTCTTTTTTAATGAGATTTTAAAATGGAGATTTTAAAATGCCAGTTGAAATCCTTATCTCCGATCTCTCTGGTTTCAAAGGCCCACTGTCATAAGAATCTTATATCATAGGAAACGCAATCAAAAATATCGTTTGTGTTACCTGTGGGTTTATATTCTAGTCCAATGAAGCCATCATATTGTAAGGATTCAAGCAGTTTAAAAATATAACCATAGTTGATTTCACCATCAGAGTGTGGTTCTCCTCGATCAGGAGCTTGGGCAATCTGGATATGACCTGCAAAATATACAAGAGGTAGGGTTAAAAAGGTAAGGGTAGAATGAAATTTGGATGCAGGGGTCACTGGTATGCTTATGATGTGTTGAAGCAGAAAAGAGTGAGCACTTGAGCAAACAACTTTCCCTTTGCTACCTTATCCCTTTCAATAGTTGTTGGTAGCATTTATTTCTCTCATTATACACTCTGAAATATCCCCACCATTATCAGAGCAGCATTGGACTTTTCTCATGTTTATATATAAATCAAATAAGTATTATAGACATGTGGAAGAAAATGTTCAATTTTAAATATTACCTTAATTTAAAAGGAATCCAACATTAAAAATACATGTTATATTTATAGTGCAGTTGTCTAATATAAAATTTTATGTGATAAACATAATTTCATGGCCTGCTACATTTCTGGGTAAAAGTGATATTGAGCACTTGTATACAACTTCATTAATGAAAATATAAAATAAAGGTTGATTCTAGCATTCTTGATATAAGTCAGGAGTATAGAAAAGCTTAAACTTGAAAATTTATTTAGAATATATATTTATAAATGCTTATTAAATATACTGTCAATAATATAATCTTGTTTGACCCAGAGGACTGATAACATTGTGAAATTTTTAGTCAGCCATAGACAAATATTGATAATTATTGCTCTAGTTATCTGTGGTGAACTCTTATTGCCAAAATTCTGCTCATCTTGATATGTATTAAGTTATCTATTAATGTAAGTATAATTCTTTTTATTTATATTTAACACGTAACTAAAGTCTGCTCAAAGTATAAAATCACAGGTTGGTTCTGCCAGTGTTAAAGAAATGTGCCTGAGCACGTGTCTGCAATAGGGATTAGCTACCACCTTGGCAGATAGGTGTATACACAAAACAGTTAAAAATAAATGGATAATTTAAAAAAACAAAAAAAAAAACAAAAAAAAACTCAGTTTTTATGGCGGATAAGCGGAAATTAAACCTATTTCCTCTCAAGTGTACACTTCTATTTGTAACACCTATAAATTCATCCAATAACTTTCCCATAAATCCAAATAAAGACAATCCCACTTACCTATGGCTGGGAACCAGTTCTTGAGATTGGCAGTCAAATTACCATTCATGATTTGTACATGAAATATATCCTTTGAAAGAAAATTCAATGAAAACAAATGTTAAAATAAGTCAAACCGACAACTCGAGGAAAAAAAAAAAGTGATTGTTTCAGTTAGTTTAACATGATACTTATGTAACTGGGCACAACATTAGTTAAGACAGTTTGAGAAATAACCAAATTTAAAATAATAAATTAGGTGAGGTTCATTACTTATTCACATTGTATATTGGGTACATTCTTTAAGGATTAAAAAAAAAACAAAAAAAAAACAAAAAAAAAACGAGTTGGGGTTCATTCAATGAAACTTTAGTAAAGTTAAAACTTTATACATTCATTTCTATCTTTCATTGTTTATCAATATATGTTTCAGCTGATGTATAGCACTATCGTTCATATAGTTTTGTATGGGGGTGCTGGTGCACCCTCAAGCAATCTATCACTTCTCCCAGTGGGTCTTTTAGTCACCACATGAGCAAACAGGTCTCAGTGCCTGAGCTCCCAGCTTAATCACAATGTTTCACACTCTGTTCTGTTGCCTTCTAGGTAGACAAAAATGTGTGCATTCAGGCTATCACAACTGTATCATTATTATTATTTGTTCCTTCATTAAGAGTGTTTGGAGGCAATCTTTTCTGGGTTGTCTTTATCTACCTGATAGTCAGGGAACTGAACCTCAAGAGTAACTTCTGAGGAGGCTATCCTATCAGTAGGTGTATACTACTGGGGCTATTTTACTGTCATTTTGTGAATGGGACATGGACTGAAAGTGGTCCACTGCAGAAGCCTAGTTTACTTGCTCCTAGTAGTGAAACATAACCTTCATATGAAACAATAGTTAGGAAGATTGATGATATCCCTTGGCTTGCATTCATATTTATGGCAACTTTAGTATTCACCACAGAGTGATTATTCCATTCCAATGAAGAAAGCAGATATTGCAGAGATTTCTCCATTGCTTAAAAAATGACACAGATCATGGATAAGCCCACTTGTGTTCTTGATACAACAACAGCATGCAAACCTCCAAGAACTCTTCCTCACATTCTGCTCTGAAAAATGCTCTGCCAAAGGGTTACCTCCCCTGGTCACTTCAGCCCATTCACTGGTCAGTGTTAAAGCTGATGCCAAACCAAAGGCATCCTTGATGCACCATTTCATAGGATGATTTTTTTTGGTATGCCAGAATTGACTGGGACAGTGTCAGATCTTACATGGCAAAAAGCTCCTCTCGGGGTTTTTTAAATATAAAAACCTCCAGAATTGTCACATTTGTCTTTAAATGGATCTGTTCTGTCATGGAAAGTTTTATACCTCAGAGAAAATGCCAACAAAAACTGCATAGCCAGTCTTGGTTCACTCCAGAATGTGCTGCCTTTCAAGCCAATGTCGAAAGTGTGAGCTCTGGAGAATCTCTAACCAAATTCTCAATAGAGGCAAAGCCATCAGTGCCCATTATCATAAATGGACCTGAGGTTATCTTATTGTTAGATAAAGCAAAGCTCTTTACAAAGATCTTTGCCTCCAACTCTACATTAAATGATGAGCCATCTTTTTCCTGACTTTCTCACTCCTTTCACAGAGTACAAGCAAATATCTATATCACAGCTTGGGCAGTCTGAAGACTTATCAAAAGCCTTGATACTAAGAAAGCTACTGGTGCACATAAAACCCCAGTGGTTGTCCTTAAGAATATTAGGAGTTATCTTTGATTTTTGCAAAATTGTTTAACCAGATCCTGGCAGCTGATATCTCCTCTGACCCACAAGGCTGCATAGGTACTTTTCGTTTGGTTTACAGCATATCAACCTCAATGGGTCATTTAATGCCGACAACTTTTTTTTTCCTTGTAATATCTGTTAATATTTTTTTTCCTCAAAAATGTATAGCCAGCAATATTTTTTGCCTCAAAAACATATAGCTGGCAACACTATTCTTTCAAAAACCTATTATCAGAGGCCTTGCTGTTGGACATAGTTTATCGTCATACCCAGGACGGAGGTACTTTTGGATTATCAAGAATTATGAATGGGTAATGAATTATTTTCCACCCTACAATCACTTTCCCTCAGATGAAATGTTGCTCTATTGCTATTTCCATGGAAAAATAGTTTCTAACAAGTTACATTCCCTACTTCCACCAACTCTAACTAAAACCCACCAGATACACAGATTTTTAGGAAAACAAATCAAACTTACAAATTGCATCTTCAGATTTGGGTGATTGATTTTCTGCACATATTCAAACGCTGTAAAAAAAAAAAAAAATAAAAAAAAAAAAAAAAATCCTTTCAGAATTACATTCTCTCATTGGGAGTTCTTTTCATATGAAAGTAATAATTTTAAATGTTATCTGCTAGTTTTATAATAAGTGCTGCTGATGCAGTTAATGATTCAAAAGTTAAAACAGAAGGTTTTAAATTACAAAAAAAAAAAAAAAAAAACCAAAAACAAAACTCAATTGCATTTTTCTATGCATTTGTAGAAGAAATGAAAACGAGTGCTTTAGTATTTACTCTGGCACAGTTGGACATTAATCACATATATTTAGTAAGGTCTAAAAGACTAACTTGTTAACTATCACTTATTTTCAAAACACTATAAATTCTTGTGCCAGATTAAGTTAAGCTTGGTAAATATTTAGGGTGCTCACTGTAGAACTATTGAGAACCATTTATTTTGAAATTTTTAAATAAAAAAAAAAAAAAAAAAAAAAAATCAAAAAAATCACGAATATTAATATATCAGAGGCATTATTCTCAATTTTTTTCTTCTTGCAAAAACTTAGAAAATCTTCTAAAAATGAAGAGAATCCTTTACCTTTGCTTGGATTATCCAAAAAGTAATTAGGGACACTGATCTTTGAATTTACTGCTTCAATCAATCCAAGAATGTCTTCCTGAAATAAAAAGTTCAAGAAAAACATTTTTCTTTTGTGTCTAAAATGTTTATATATCTCATAGAATAATTATTTTTTTTTAAGGATTTTATTCAATTGGGTCTCATCATTCTTACTTAATGGTTATTCTGATTAATTTAAATAATTTCTTAACCCTACACTCCCCATCCCCAGTGCTATGTGGTCTGACCCCTAAACTCACATTATGACTTTCAGAGCCACACAGGCTAGTAAACAGACTGCACAAGCATGCAGTAACAATGGCCCCTTCCAAATAATGTTAAAAGAAACAAAATTTATTAATTACAGAAATAATTGAACCGTTTGTGTTGATTTAAGAACCTCAATTGTTTAGGAATTTTAAACCAGACCAAAACTTTATGGATGTATAACAGGGTAGAATTGGTTAAATGCCAACCAAAACTATTGTCCTCATCTTTGTTGTTGTTATCAAAACCTTTCAGCCATTGTGCTCTCCAGCTTTCCTCAGATGGTTGTTGATCTGGGCAAACCTTCAATGAATCAACAAACACCTGATGAAGACCAGAGGGCACAGTGGCCGAAAGGTTGTGTGATAACAGTAATAAAGATGAGAACAATAGCCACATGTAAATAATGATAATTCCTCATCACAGAAATTATCAATTAGGAATCTTCTAAGGGAAGGTGACAGCACATTTTCATCAATTCCAACCCTGTTAAACATTTCACCCTAATTTCCCACCCAACAATTGAAGGGAATTTTAGTAATCAACAAGACATGTCTTGTCCTCACCTGCTGGAGTCGGTTGGCTGCATATTCTATGTTTTGCAGGTAAGTTTCTTCTGTTGCTTTATCAGGAACCTTTGGATGCTTTCCAGACATAATATGCACTCTGGAGAAAAATCAAAAATTATATACATTTATTATTTATTTATTTATTTATTTTTTTGTTTGTTTTAAATAGTTAAAACACACACAGTCTTAAATCCTTAAATGCTTACATTTGGTTCTGTTACTGAAAGCAAAATTTGACCCCCATCCCAATAGCCAGAAGAATTGAGACTGAATTGGGTAGCATGGCAAGAAATTACTTACATTATTCACATTGGGACTTATCTTCATTACCTTATTTACAAGGTTTCAGCCGTTGTATGCTCCAACCTTCTTCAGGTGACTGGAATTTTGAATCAAACCCTTTATTTCGTCCACCAGGCTAGTTCCACATGCCATACCTCTTCCAGTACAGTAGCCTGGTATTAAACTCATATCTTTTTGGGTATAGTCACTGGATCTAACCAATGCTTTTATCCACTGGGCCAGGTGTCCTTGAGGCATGTGGAACTAGAACAATCTACCCCCATGGACAAAATAAAAGGTTTGATTCAAAATTCTAATCACCTGAAGAAGGCCAGAGCATACAATGGTCGAAACGTGAATATGGCAATGAAGATAACAGTTTGAATAATCAGAAGACCTTATCTCAGAGATATAGACAGATATGTCAAGAAATGATCACAGATCATCATTCTACCTTATGGCCTCTTATAAAGTGGCAGTAAGAGCTAAACAAAAATGGAGGAGTGATTAAAGAAAGTTAGAAGTTGAGGGCTTGGATTTATTTGCTTTTCCAGAAAGTTGAAATGATTAAAACAATACCACCCAAGCAGAAAGGACAAGGCCAAAACCAGTTATAAAAATTAAAATCTCCTCAATCCTGATGATACATTATTTAAAAAGAAAAAGAACATTTTTATTTCTGAAATATTTAAATTTTCCTTCATAAAATATAAAGTAACTCAATTTGTTATTTAATAATAGATTTATTTTACCATCATTATTGCAGGTCCATTATAAAAAAAGAAGACTTTAATAAAAATATCAAATGATTCTATTTCATGCTTTATCAGATCCTAAATCAAAATAATTTTCTAATATCTAACTCAAAATGTGTGTGTGTGCACATGTGCACTTGAAGCCCCCCCCACAAAAAAATTAAATAATTGAGAGCAAAGGAAAATGTTGACAGTGACAGGATTCAAATCTGTGTCTACAAAAAGAACAGGAAGTAAACTTACTGCACGAGCTCACTTTGGCATTCTCTCAAAATAGGGCTGGATACTTTGTTTGCATACTTGAAGGAAGTGAATCTTTTTGAAAAGAAATGACTGTTTAACAAAGAAAAGGAATGTGCCAGGTTATCACTGCTAGTTTAAGAGTGATTAACATGGCCACCTAACAACTACGTCATCCAGGTTGGATTGTGGAAACAATTCCAGTCATGGACTTTTGGGAAAAAAAAACAAAAAAAAAAACAAAACACTTTGGTTAGTATATGTTTGTTTTATTTTTCTTTAACTAATTGTTCACTGAATAAAAAGTGCATGAGTCACTCAAGGTATGTTTTACCATCCTTCCAAAGAATTATGCTTTTTTTTTTTTTTTTAAATTTCTATAAATAGAAAAACAGTAGATATTAACTGTCAGTATTGTAGAACATTGTTGTAGTATTAATACTAAGGCATTTTTAAACACTCCATTCAAAATATTAAGCATTATGCACTGTTCAAATCATTTTGCAAAAATTTTGACAATAAAAAAATCATTTAAAAATTTATTTTTTAGATCAAAGAGTTTCTATTCAGTCCAACCATAGAGTTCTGCACTTGCAAACCATTGATAGATAAGTTGTTTTTTTTTTTTTTTTTTTAGTCCAAATTAGTTTTTGATCTGTACAAGCAAGCCATTTTTTATTTGAGCCTATAATAATTGGGTCCACAAAAAGAAGGGGCTTTTGATTGCTAGTGTATGCAGCTGGTGGGGATGAACAAGATACAAGATTAAATTATATTTCGTTTTGTTTTTACAAACATTTTGTCAGATTTTGAAAAAGAAAAAACCTCCAAAATTTGGTTTAACCTTAAAACAAATTAAAAAAAAAAAAAAAAAAAGGGGTGAAAGGACTTCATCTCTATATCCTCATCCAGCCCTTTAAGAATGCAAAGGTGAAAAGGAAATTATTCAAGACACAACTTAGAGGTTCTTCTCCAGTATCAAAAATGTTTGTATTTTCATAACTAGATATTTTGAACTGGACATGATTTTCCTTTTTATTACAGAGCAGAAATGGTAAGGAGTCTAGAATGGGGTACTTTTATTATATATCAATAACAAACTGGTTTCAAAGAAATTTTCTGATGTCTATACGTGAAGGTGCGGATCCACAGACTGCAGAAAAAAAGTCTAAGAAATGGATCACTTTTTCTTTTGAAATTCAAAAATAAAATTGTCAAAAATCATAATTTTAATGCATCTATTGTTCAAAAAAATGGCCTATTTAATTTTAAAAGTGCCTACAACTATTCAAAGCAGATGCTATTTTATTGCTCTACATTTTTCAGGAATCATTTTTGTTCTTTTTATTAAAAGAAACAAAAAAAAAAAAATGAAGATGTTAAAAAAATTGACAGTCCTAGAAAAGTTGTTGAAATTGATAAAACATTCATTGTTTGGTGCAAGTATAACAAGATGACGTATGATTGACCAACAATGAATTTTTGGTGGAACTGACAGGTACTCGTCAAAATTCAATTATTTTATCAAATTTATTCAAGAGACTCAAATAAATTCCATGACACATCCCTTTAGAGTCAACCATAATAAATGGTGGCTTGTCAGTTTATAGTAGACTTGGCCAATTTTTAAGATTAAGTAGATTTTAGAGTCATTTTATGTCAAAACTGATTTATTTTGGTTTATATTTAGGGAAAATGGACAAATTTTATTTTGTTTTTATATTTTCAGATATAATCCAACTGATTTCAGAAATATTATATTTTAATATTTTTGAATAGTTCTTTCAGGCTGTAGAAATTGTGTCTTTTGGAGTCAAAATCAATGCATTCAATTAGAAAATCTTTTACCGCATATTGGGTTTGGACATCATGGTGGTATTTCTTTCTTTCAGCAAGAATGAATGCATCATTTTAGTGTGACCTAGTTGTAGCTGTGAAAAAGTAACCTCTTTCTTTCAGGATTTTCCATAATGGAAGGGTTTTTTTCCTGGAGGTTGGTAAGATTGTATTTAGTTTATTTTGCATTTTCCTGTTCCATTGTTCTTGCCATTGATTTTGCATGTGTTTCTTAATAAATGGTTTTAGGTCAGTATATGGGATTTGGTAATTTTCAGGAACCAGTCTTAATACCTGTTTAGGACTTCTGTCTGTTTTTGTTTTTTTTATTTTCTCTTAGTTCCTATATATCTAGGAATCCAGATGAACAGGATTATTTTAAAAGTAGAGATGGTATGGATTCTTTCTCAATATTTTAGCTATCAAGGGGTTTTCCAGCTTTTTGTTTTTTTATAGATATTTAATACTGATATGGAATCAGAAAAGATGATAGATTAGGATCTTAAAGTGATTATAAAGAAAATCTTGTATCATCATTTATATACCCACAAAAATTTGAAAACAGTTGGCTGCATTGAAAGAAGATTTTCTTAAGAGAGAAAGGAACAAACAGACCTCTCCCCCACTATCAACGGGAAAACATTTGGGAGTATATATTCACAAAGAAAATTTACAAATGTATTTTGATAATTTGACCACAAATATAAACAAAATGTATATATTTTAAATTTATAATTTTGCACACACACACACACACACACACACACATCTGACTCATTTAAAATGGGTACTGTAAAAATTACTTACTTTTTACAAGAAAGGGCTTTTGCATAGTCAATGGTCAGCTCCAGTTTATCACAAAATTCCTTTTGTTTTGAAGAAAGTGTTGCTAAACCAAGCTGACCCTGGCTCTGGTCACCTGTAAGAGGCACAAAATTATCAATTCCCTTCACTTGAACAAATTGAAACGAAAAATTTAGATACATTAGTAAAAGACACCCCTATCCAAATTTGGGATAAACTTCAAGTGTCAGCAGGTCCCCCCACTTCCAATCCAAATTTCACATATCTATTATAAAAAGGAAACATTTATTAGATGATAAATTTTGTTAAAAAGAAAATTTTTTTCTCTTTTGTTGACTTAAAAAGTAAAAAGACTCCATTTCTGTAACAAACCCAAATTTTCAGCACCGCTAAATGAAATGTGACACACAATATCAATTCAAAATGTATCCAAGACAATCTCCAATATGAATCCATTTCTGCCATGTGATTTCAATATCAACTTATGGATAATAAGCCATTATTTCCCCACATCACCACCAAAAAAAAACAAAAAAAAAAAACCAAAAAAAAAAACCAAACAAACAGTTGATTCAGCAGATTTTAGTTGATAAATATTTTGGCGGCAGCTCAGCAGAGAAAACAGATGAAAAGGTCTAAATTTATTGCAATTTCTCAAATTTAAATCTTTCACCAAATTTGTGTAACAAACAACAATTGTGTATATATGGTTGAACATACTTTATTTACAGGGACAATATATATAAAGCATCGATCAGCTGTATTGGCTTCTACTACTATCACTACAACTACTAGAATTCCCAAAACCTGAGATTCTAATTAAATCTAGAAAGTCTCTTTGCTGTGAGACTTATTGGTATGGCACTTTGGAATTGTTTTTAGCATTTTACTCATACAATTGCATGCAGTTTGTATATGCTTAGCAGTGTTTTTATATTCTGCAACATTGACAAGTATAAATAAACCTTTTATGAAATAAAAATTCTTCACTGATAACGTAATACAATGACTTCCATTTATTTCAGAAAAAGGTTTTATGTTTATTGGTGGCATCATAAAAAATACTTGCATTTTTTTTTTTTTTTTTTAAATAAATATCCAATACAAAATTATTGAAATATTTTGTGGTGATTCTTAGAGAATACCACAAGTGCCATTTCAGAGAGATATCATCAGTGAATTTCTGGGATGAGAAGTTATTATTTACATACAGACTCGTTTTCATATTTGTTTCAGTTGTTGTACCCTTTGACTTTTATGGAGGTGTATGTCAACTGAAGTAACCTCACAGGATCATCTTTCAGATAAGCAATATGGCTTTTGCTTCTCTAGGTCAATTGTTAACAGTTATTGCTAAAAGAGTCTATCAAGCTTTGGATAAGAATGGTGAAGCTCGGGCTATTGCTTTGGATATCTTGAAGTCATCTGATAGGGTTTGGCATATGGGTCTCCTTCACAAGTTGGAAGGTTATGGACAAATTTTTGAACTAATTCACTCATTCTTATCTAATTGTGAAATGAAAGTTGTCTTAAACGGCCAAATGTTGTTCCTCATTTTTCATAAATGACCTTCCTGATGTCATTAGTTCTTGGTTCAGTATCAATGCTGATAACATCTATTTATTTATTGTCTTAATAGTAAGTTTGATCGGTTCGATATGGTCAAATTAGTGGCTGATCTCAAAAATAACCTACAATCTTTTGTTAAATTTGTGCAGTTTTAACGCCTTCAAAATGAAACTGCTCATTTTTAATCATCTGAGAGAACCCTTTTTTAGCTTCTATCAGAATGGCTAATGCTAACCACCAGAAGAGTGCATCTGCTTGGACTAATGTTTTTCTGTCGATATGAGAAAGAAAGAGTATATACAGGTAGGAATGTTGGTTCACCATGTCGAGCTAGACAATTTTTCTCTCCAGAACCAATCTTATATATTTATAAGACTACCATTTGTCATTGCTTTGAATATTGCTGCCACATCTGGTCTGGTGCTTTTGCTATATATTTAGATATTCTTGAAAGTTCAAAGAAGAATCTGCAATGTTATTGATCCAGCTCTAATATCTTGGCTTCAGTTACTTTCCCACTACCATAACATAGCTTCTCTGTGCCTATTCTATAAATACTTTCATGGTAATTGTTCTGATGAACTTTTTTCTAGTGTACCTAGTCTTTATGAATTTAAGCGCAGTACTAGATTGGCAGATAGGGCTCATCATTTAGCAGTTGAAATGGCTAGTTGTAACTACAATTTGCTTGAACTCTCTTCCGGCTTCTTGATTCCCTGTCAACTTTGATCTTCAAAAGTTTAAATGCAACATCAATTGTCATCTTCTGTCTTCTTAATTCTTGTTCTTTTATTGTTTTCTCTCCTTCATAGTATATTTTTCTCATATTCTTTAACACTTAGTAACCTCTTGTGTCTTAGTGGCTTTATTGCCTTGTTTGGGGTGAAATGATTGTCATCCCCCCCCCCAAAAAAAAACAAAACCAACTAAAACCAAAAAAACAAAAAAAAAAAACAACCAAAAACCACCAAAAAACAACCAAAAACCAAAAACAACCCCCCCCTCAAAAAAAAACAAACAATACAATAAGCTTGTGGATGGATTAAAGCTTTAGTTTGTAAATTTTGTGAGTTCAATCCCTGGGCCAGGTAGTGTGTACTTGAACTCAGTGGAAACAGGGCAAGCAATAAAAAATATGAACTTAATGAAATATCCCAGAACATGCGCAGTGGAGCAGGAACAGTTTACACCTGTAAATTAAATAATGGGTTCAGTTTGAAATTCCCTGTAGATTACCAGATTGATGTACGTCTGATGAAGGCCAGAGGTCACAACAGTAGAAACATTGTGATAATAGCAGCAAAAATGAGCATGTAAATAATGTTAAGTCATCATTCATAATGAGTCTTTGTTTCTAGACTCATATAGAGGCATAGACAATCTTGTCTCTCTCTCTCTGCCTTGTCAAACAACAGATTGCGCTAGTAAAAAGACAAGTCAAAATGTTTGGCAAAAAGTGGGTTGAATTGCTGCCTTTCAACCACAAGAAAATTAACTATTTATAAGTTCCAAGTCACAATCAACTGTTCTAATTTAAGCTTCTACTTTTTAAAAAAAAAATATACTGTCAAAGAAAAATAGAGTTATATTTAAAACTAGCTTAAATGCTGCCTTATTGGGCGGCATTTAAGCTAGCTCTTGCGGATGACTTTTGATCGAGCCTTCAGACCAACAACGACACTTCCTGCATTGAATACATATCAAACTTGAACAATATTTTTCAAACAATTAAGTTTTCATCAAAACAATGATATAATTTATTTATTTGAAACTTATTGCAAACCTGTATGATAAACAAAATTTCTGGTTTTCCTGTTTGGGGTCAGTACAAATAACTCATTTCCATTCTCAACCCTTGAACAACCAACAGAGCTGGCCGTGAGTAAAGCAGGGTTCCATCAGATGAAGTGCACTTACTTTCAATGTTTGTCCTTGGACTTATTGACATTGCATAGCTCACTCTCACTGGAAAGTGAAGTCTTTTGAATTTAGGGGATTAAAACTTTCTTCCTTCCCTGGACAAATAAGGATCTCTGCTTCCAAGAGATGGGGAAGCATCTTCTTGACAATTAACCTTGTTCCATTACAAAGCTTTGGCGGATCCAGATTTCTCAATAGCATACCTGGTATGTTTTCTTTTAGTTCCAGCTTGTGAGATTGCATTTCAGGAGGATTTAATGAGTTCAAGAATTCTATTGGATAATTCTCTGTCTGCTCCTGTTCAACCACAGTGTCAATGGAAAAGTACTTTATGCTTTCTTTTGAAATTTCTTGGGGGAGTTTCCAGTTGATGCTATCCACAGTTTGAGAGCAAATATGGCAATCTCACAAAGCCAGTTTGAATCCATGAAATAAATATTTGGATAAACATGGTTGATCAAATGTTGGATAATTGAGACTGAAACTCCGCAACCATTTGGGAGTGAAATATCTCCATTTTGATCCATTTTGGTGGTTCCATTGCCAAACTGCAACAGCAAAGCAGCAAATCTTCATGCTTCAAGGTCACCTGTGATTCTGACTCATGTTTGTTTTCAGGCTTTGTCTTCAAACACTGCTCCAGATGTAAGAATTTTTCAGAGAGTTGTGTTCCTTTAATTGAAAAAGTGTGACACACACATTTTTGCATTTATTATACAAAATTAGTGGCCATGAAGTACAAATGATTTGTGCTCACCTCCTTAAACTCTTTTTTTCAGTTTTGGTTCATAAGAAAACAAAAGGTGTAGTGATTGTTTTCAACACAAGAAATCACTTGATATGCTTCAGCAGATCAATGCAGTCTCTGCTAATTAAGTTTCATTTGCTTAAACAAAGCATGATGTTTTAGCAATCTTTAACCTTTATGCCAGCAAAAAAAATGGGGTGTCAAAAAGGACAGTTTTTCCCTTAACACTGTTATTATTTTAACTACCTTGACTCCTTGGCAATGTTTATTCTTTTAAAAAGTGATGATTAGAATAAAACCTAAAACATATGAAAATGAATTTATACATTTTCTTTGTTCTTGAGAATTGACAACAAATAATAAAAACTATTAGATTGTTTATTTACACTATTTACTGGAATGATTGGCAAAACATTGGCTAAGTGGCAATTGATTCAAACCTTATAAGATGGTAAATAATAAGGATTTCCTGATAGGTGGTTCATATATTTTAATAATTTGGTAATTGTTTATACATTTATGAAAAAAAAAAAAAAAAATTTTCATATTTTTTTATAAATTAGTAAATGAAAAAATTGGAGTCCAATATTTGCTTGAAGATGAAATGGAACTAATGTTTTTAATTTAATTACAATATTAAATTTGAAGTTTTTAGCTTCCATTTTTTAAACATGGTTATTACTGTGTAGCAAAAAAAAAAAAACATATTTATTTATAATATTTATGTTCTGTAAATTTACATTGAGCACTGTTTTGTAAAAATAAAAATATCAATAAGAACATTTAGATTATATATATATTATATATATATATATATATATATATATATATATATATATATATATATATATACACACACACACACACACACACACTAACGCAAGTAGATCACCAAACCAAAGAAGAGTTGGTAATGTTGGTTTTCACAATATTATACAATTCTTATACTCATTTACTGAAGCATTTTATTTAACTCATCCTTCTCTTGTTTCAAATTGATTCTCAAGTTATAAATGTTTTATTTATGGGTGGTTGTTTTTTTTACTTCAAGTATCTTCTTGGCTTCGTAAACGAAGATTTATGAAGTGGGCTGTCCACATCGACTGCAGGCACACTGATGCCAATCTGGGACAGGCAAGTCCGGCTGCAGCAACTGCAATTAAAGGTCTAGTCTGGTATAGCTGCTGAGTTTTTCTGTTTCTTCCTCCTGTGGTGTTTCTCCTTCAGGTTGACCCTGTGAGAGTCCTAAAAGGTGGAGACAGCCTAGTGGACAGTGCAGCACCAGGCTTGACGGTCAGCACCACTGGGGATGGTCAATGTGGCAGGTACTGAGGAACTTCCTTATAAATGCTTCCTTGGTGCCCCTCTGTCACGGTGGCCAGTGGAGAGTACAATGTACAGGGTTATCGTGGGTAGGCGATAGTCCCTCATTCTGGAGATGTGCCCTGCCCAGCGTAGCTATAACTTCAGCAACATGGCTTCAATGCTTGTGATTTTTACCTGTTTGAGGATCATAAGTCTGTTTTAACTTTGATTTTGCTAGTATTTTGGTATAGTACTTTGTGAATAGCTATTACTATGATCCTTATGCTGCTTATTGAAGTGTTGTCTGATAGCACTCTGGTCCAATAGCTGGCAGGTGAGAGTATGCTAGTATATTGCTATTTGTGAATGTTGATATTTTTATGAGAAATATTCTGGCAAGGTTCTCTTTTGAGATGTTAGAAAGATACAATTAAACATTAGTCCCTTCTTGATTTTCTCAGAATCCCAAATTAATATTTTGGATCATCAAGTTGTCAAGCATTTACTGGAAAATGCCAGGTTTGCCGAGAGAACCAAATGCAATTTAATTTATCTTAAACTGACCTGAAAAATGTTAGAATTTTTAAATAAATAAAATTTAAATCTAGGAATATATGTATATATATATATACAAAATCTGGCATCAAAATTAATGTAAGAAAGATTAAATTTGGAATTCTTATTTTGCAAAATCACAAATTTACAAAGTAACAAAAAAAAAAAGAAAAAGTCATTAAGTTTGTGAGTAAGTAATTTTGTTTCTCCAGAAATAATTGTATGTCAACATGCAAAAAACTCAAAAAGTATTCAAATTTTAGTAAATCAAATTGTACAATAATTCATATGTAATGTAAAAATAAAATGTTTATATTTTTTATATTTCTCCTGAAGTTTATGAACAATTTAAAAAAATGAGACATGTCTATTTGGACACAAGGGTGAACAACTAAATCAGGTCAAGTGTGTATGACGAGAGAAAGAGGAGAGAGAGAGAGACTCTTACGTCGATTTGGGTGCCCAACTAAATCAGGTCAAGGGTGCATGACGAACGACAGTGATTTGCAGACATTACTAAAAGAGTTTATGAATGACTCTTAAATTTAATCAAATGAAAAAGAATAAATTCTTTAATCTTTTCGATTTTGGAACGATACCATTCTTATTCTTTGTACTGCTGAAAACAAAAATAAAAAAATAAAATAAATAAATTCGTTTAAAACTAATTTGTCTCTAAAATAAATTAATGACCACTAAAAATCACTTCATTAATTAGTGTAGGAAAATAATGATTTCAAATTGACTTCGTAATCACGATTTTTTTTTACCAACTCAGAATTTAATTTTTTATTTATTGGTAGCGTGAGACATTAAATCTCGTGGTAACAATTATCAAAAAAGGGAAAAAAACTGTAGTAAAATTAAAAACATCGTGGAATGGAAAAGTCTTTTTTTTTTTTTTATTTTGCTCTAGCAGAAAATGAAATCCTAGTTTTTACGTTACCAACCTAAAGAACTTTTGCAAAGTATTTTTTTAAGAATATTAAATATTGTGAAAATGAATGGACGTTTTTAAATTTTAGGAAGTTGTATTTTTTTCCGTAAAATCGTTTCAAGGAACACTAAAAATTAAAATGAATGTATGTTTATTTATTTATTTTTTTTTTTTAATTTTTAGCGCATGAAGAACAGTAAACGCTAAAAACTTTAGTAATTAGTTTAAAAAACATAAATGATTTAAAAAAAAATATATATTAAAAATGCTAACAAAAAAGTTTTCCTTTTGAATTAAAAAACAAAAAAAAAAAAAAACACCAAATCGCGAGGGTGGGTCGCAAACGAAAACAATTTATTTACCATATTCTTCTTACCTGGCCACGAGTTAATCAAAACTTGTTCGACCCCTGCCTTTTCTTTGGCTGCTTTTAACACTTCGACCGGCTCGTCGTAGGGAAACGTACATTCAACATAGCGAAACCCTGCATCTTTTGCTGCTTGATAACGGTCAGATAATTTAGGTAATTCTTGGAACATCATAGAAAGATTAGCAGCAAGCTTTAATTTCGACATCTTGAAATTTCTTTGGAAAGTCCTTAACACAACTTGTCACGTGAAGTTCAAAGGTAAGTGACGGGTGCGCACTGGCATTTGTCCCGGTGATATACACGTCCGGCCAATTGGAAGTAACTTTTTTTTAATTGTTTGTAACTATTTTGTGTTTTGTGCAAAGGTTATAGAATTTTTTTTTTTTTTTGAAAAAAGAAGAAAGAAGTATATCATGTCTCCACAAGTCTGATTTTGAAATAAGCTCTGTCGCCCACAGGGAGAGTTTGAAAAACTTTTTACAAGTTTTCTGTATGACGTATTCTTCTTAACAAAAATATACTTTTCTTGAATGAAAAGATTAGATATTAAAATATTTTAAAGTAAGTAGTAAATGAAATGATTTAATCCGCATTTGAATGTCGCAGAATCAATTATTTCTGAGGTTTTTGCTCAAATACTGAGGTACCCTAGACAAAGTCACATATATCGGGGAGTGAATGCTTCGGTTCTTCCAGTTATAAAACACTGGGGTGGTACTCTTTCTATACCCAGAATTATAGAGAACATGTGTGGACAGGACCAAGTTATGGTCAAATGATGCTGTCAGCAAAGTACAGTTCAACAATGGTGTCCTTTTTTGATAACAAACTTACTAGTCCTTGAGTTTCTCTTTTTATTTTAATTCATTAACACAATCCATGCAGTTAAAATAAATTAAGTACAAGGCAAGTACTGTGATCCGTACTGAAATGTGTAAGCTATTAAGGGAGCATGAGAAGAATTCATTCCAATAACTGCTCGCGGATGTAGAGTTAATTCAAGCAAGTCTACAGTACTTATACCGTATTTTGGGCCAGCAAAAGGTATACAAAACGAATGAATGAATGACGCGTGCATATGAAACTGAAAGATGTACATTTTGAGAAGAGTTTTTTACTGGCTTGGTAGAATTGTGGTCATAGAGAAATAAATAAACAACAAGAAAACCAAAATTTCACCATTTCTAAAAATAGACGGATAATGAAAATCGCCAGGTAAACAAAGCTATAGTTCGATCAACCAATCAGAATGCTTTCACAACCAGCGAACCCACGAGAAGGGAGCGGTCTTTTCAATGGATCTGTATATAAACAAATGGAAAATCAACCAAAACCAGATTCGATAATTGTTTTCCGTTTTCCGATGCTACGGTCATCGTAATATACACTTGTACGGATAGCTGATGACCTTAGACGATTAAACCATCATTGCTACATTGAAAACAAACATACCTTCTTTCACCACTTCTTGTCAAGCGGCGGCTACTACATTTAGATACATACTGTGGGAAATTTGTCCCGGCTTTCCCCCACACACACACACATATATATATATATATATATATACATGTCCCACGTGGAGAAATATATACGTATGTCTACATAGCAAAGCAAAGCAAAGTATAAGGAAAAACAAAAGGAAAAATCTTGCATATAATTTGAAGATATTCCTGGCCTGGAGAAGGCATTTTTAGGACTCCAGATTTAAAACCACCACCATTACATACACACAATACATAGAAATCATACGACAAGCATTCATTGGTTGATCTCCTCAAAACTAGCTCGCTGATTCGTCAATTCCGACCAATCAGATATCCTGCACACGAGGAATGAAATTTCCCGCTCACTGAGGTTGAGCCGATCACGTGATACCCAGCCTTATATAAACAAAACACGTGTAAGCTCTCTCTCCCCGTTTTCTCATTCATCTTTCTCCTTGCTGCCAAGATGTAATCTTCAAGAGCTTCCGTCTTAACCTTGCGGTCAAACGTTAAAGACCATTATCAACATTCACGCAAGTATGAACTCTTAACTCTTCAGTCTCTCTTGCATCCCAATCCTTGCTGCCAAAATGTAACCTTCAAGAACTCCCGTCTTGACCCTGCAGTCAGACGTTAAAGAACATTACAACATTCACGCAAGTACAGCTCTTAACTTTTCTGAACTCTTACCAACTTTACCAATTCACATTTCCTAACATGTTAAAGGGACTAATTACTTCATCTTTATGAGCTCAGGTACAAATATTTACAAATCTAAGAGACATAACTCATTCAAAACTTCAGCTTAAATGCATGTACATCGACACTAATAAATTCAATTGTTATGTTTTGAATCCTTACATTCTGTCTTGTATTTTATACTATGTGCTATTTTACGTCAAATATAACTTGCATTGCGTCCACGCATTGTGCTTAATCACGCCTTTCCTAGTCAAAAGATAAATATATGTAGCATCACCCCTACAAAAAGGGCCGGATTCATCTATCTCCGAAAGGGAAACGGCATCATGTGCTTGTAAGCTAGTGACTAGCTTCGACAGACATGTTCGCACATGTCTCAGGTCCACTGTTGCGTCTGTACTGACTCACGTTCATAACTTAAATAGGGTTACATTTAAGGCTATTTCTTTTAGAAAACGATTTTTCATCATTGGCCTTGTAATGAGAAGAGACCTAAGGAAGAAAGATTTATTCTTCCATTTACGTTTCTTACGATTCTCATTGTTATATCCGAGATATAACAACACCGTAACTCACGAACAGGACGGAACGGAATGGCTATCATGCTTTATTCTCAGAGAGATTTTTATATACTACAACATACACAAAATTATATATATATATATATATATATATATATATATATATATATATATATATATATATATACCGGAGTTAAGCAACGTCTAGCTTGGTCATTACCAAGATGGGTGATCCTTTGGGAATACCAGGAGCTCTAAGCTTAGATGTGCCGGTGATGTCATAGATAATGGCTCGGAATTGTTAATCAGAGAGCCACGTTCCAGTTGAGTTCGTTATATTCTTGTACTTTTGCTTTTACTAAAATCATTATCTCAAAAAAAAATTGCGTGCAAAATATTTAGATTTCGGTATTAAATAAAAAAAAAAACCCAAAGAAAACAACCAATCAATCGTAACCATTATATACTATCTCTAAAGCGTTCTGTAGACAAGTAAAGTTTAAAGAATAAAGTGAGACTTTTGTGCCGTTTTCTTATATACTGATTTGGAAACGCCATCTAGCGGTCGTTAGCAGAATTTATTCAGCAGACCAGTGTCGTAATCTCACACTTTGCAACAATGGTTAATCATAAAAGTTTAAATAAATATACTTCACTATTCTTCCGATGGTTTTATCCTGGCCTATTCAGTTTTATCGCAAATATGATTTGGTCAATACAAGACACAAAAGTCTGATTCTTACTAATTTTACTTATTGTTAACTTGCCCTACTTGTAAATGAATTCAAATATCTGTAAAAATCGAAACATTTTAAGTGTATAGTGTTACATTCAACGTGTTGAAAAAAATCATTAAGTTAGCAAAATCTGTTGGGTCTGCCATTTTCTTCCGTGCATGAAAAGTATGCAAAAAGAAAAAAAAAAATCAATAACAAGAAAACTATTATTATTTATTGGTGTCTGCTGATCACAAAATATAAACAAGCCGAACCAACATTAAAGATCTTCATTAAATACAACTGTTTTCATTTTGATGAGTCCCAGTAGTTAGGGTGTAGTACAGATCATGCAGAATAGACTTTGTACTAAATATCATCCAGAGAAAGCAACTGCAAGGTGATCTTGTCGGAGTTAACTCCTCCTTTAGTTCGTTAACCCTTTTACCAGGGGTTCCAGGCTATAAATAGTCGCTGACCCTTCGCCTCTTCCTCTTTTTCCTCAGGCTTTCAGCCTTACCACTTCGCAGATGTGAACGCTCACAGATACAGCGTTTCCCTAATGCTGGGAACACGCTAAGCACAATACACGTACGTACGAACACTCACCACAGCACAGCACACACACCACGCATAATATTTATCACACGCACTCTGTCCATGTAACTTGTACCTTTCTTGTTGTTATTAATACATATATTTGTTTACATATATTTATCAGTCTTGTGTTTGTTTTTCTTTGCCTTCTTTGGACTTAATTAAAGTCCAACTTTCTCATGTAGTTGGACTGGCTTAGCAGGAAATTTCTACCCACATGTTTTATCTACTTCTACTCAACAACATCGCCGACACGGCCCTCTACAATCTGAGATGACCTCTTAGCCGGAGGAGGAAAACCGCGATTCACCCAATGTTAGTGGCGACCTCGATAGGTGAACACATGTCGGCCTAGCTACGCCTGATATGTGCGCCCGCGGAAAAAAAAAATTGACAGATAAATATATAAACACCGATCTGAGAGGCAGTAGTGATATCGCACAAGATAAATGTAAAGTCTACGTTTCGTATGAGAGGGACCGGAGCCACACGCACACACACACTTGCCGAGAGTAATTAAAGTCATGAGTTAGAGAAAATGTAATGTTACATATGAGAGATTCAATTTCGTGTTTCCATTAACCGGTAAAACAACTTCATTACAAGACGTTTGTGGTTTATACACCACCGCCCTTGCACTTACGGCTCACAAGCTATATTAGCGGGAAAACAAGTCTAGATGTGAAATCTCTATGCGCTACAATATGTTTAAAAAATGCCAAAACATTCTGAGAAACCACCTCACTAAATGTAAAGAAAAACTTCTTTTACTTGTCAAGAAACTCACACAAAAATGCCAATTAAGTATGAAGAATTGTGAATATAAAATTTTCTCTACAGCCACAATCCGCGTCCGTTTTAGTGGAGAGGTTAAAGGGACAATCATTTTACAGCTAAATATTTTTAATGACGTTGTTTTCCTGAAAAGTATGAATTCTTCGCCATCTATTAAACTTCTTAACTTAGTTTGAAACAAGGCTATAAGTATGCAGCGTCCAGTGAGGATCGAACACATTACTCAGTAGTAATAGTCAACCAGAATAGTTTATTAGTCCACAGTAGGGCGATCGTATCTGTGAATTATTCATTTAAATATTAAAACTGATAACTGGAACTGATCTTGCTTTTTCCCCTAGGTAATTTGTTTGG